GGGCCACGGCTGAGTTCACGCAGTCTATTTCACTCGCGGACCCGAAACGCCGATGAACGCAGTGCCGGATTAAGCCAGTGCGGGGCCTGTAGCATGTTTTAAAAAGGGGCCCCCATATTTTAAAGATATATTACAATACAAATTGTTAACTTGCACAGTAAAGTAATTGTATTTTCTCATTTGCTTTGCAGCCAGATAATACGACAAATTGCTAACCTTAAACATCCAGTCGTTCATAAAAGTTGAAAGCGGTGTAGTACTATAGTAAGAGCAATTGCAGAATCACTGAACCCAATTTGGTCGCTTGAAAGCATTTAGCGCGGGGCCCTTGAAAGTGCGGGGCCCGTAACATATGCTACTTTTGCTACTATAATAATCCGGCACTGGATGAATGCACCAAGTTCCGCCGATCTCTTAAGCCAAGCAGTCTTCAGCCTGGTGTAAGGCGAGTCAAGATGCAATTATTCATCTTATTTCGTCCATTATACAGCGGTTTTTTTTGCGTAAATATTTGTGAAACCCGCCACCACCCGACAGCCAATTAAGGTTTGTGGCCTAAACAGAACATGCCAATTCGGTACTAATACAGCACACTGGGGTGTTGGAGAGCAAAGCCACAATATTTACAATCCGAGTACGACGTTTCGCCAGTAATTACAACTAGCTTCATCAGGCGACAGCCAGGTTTTTTGAAGAAATCCTCCCGTTTCGTTTCTTAGAGGGGTAGATGTGATAACATCACTTGAGAGCCCTTCTTGAGCGAAACGGGTGGTGGTGGGGGTTAATAAATGCATGATAATAGGTGTCCATTGTCGGTTGGGTTATTTATAATGGCAATCAACATAACTTATTGATGCATATTATGCAATGTTATACAATACAGTATTATACAATACAATATTATACAAGCCCATTGAATACGAGGCCTATTGTTCTTGTACCGCTTGTCGATTGTGAGCACTAAAATAGCGCAGTCACTTGTTATTGCCTGTTCAACGGCAATCCCCATTGAAGTATGGTGATTTGATGTCGATTATTAATCTCACGATACATCCGCAGGTGTGAGGATCGCTTACTTGCATTCGTAGTCTCACAAATAATAGGTGAACATAGTTCCTGCAGCCACTAGTGGCCGCTACATTCGTAACTATTTTACAATAAATAAGCTGCGACAATCAATCGCTCCCGAACAGCCGGAGGAGGCTGCTTACGCCGCTGCTGGTCGAGTACATGGGGCTGGGTGGAGCGATCTGGGAATAGCAGGCGTTGCGCGGTGATCAGGAGATGGCAGTAGAAGACGGATTGTTGCTTCTATCTGCACGGAGTTGAGTGTGTTATCGTGTGCGTGTCTTTTCTCTGGTTATCTACAGTGCTACTGCACACTCATCCATGAATTGGCTAAACATCCCTGTGTAGCAGGACCCTCAAGCAAAATAATCATGAGCATCACCGAGGCTTTCGTGGATAAATGCGTGGCATTGTCTTAACGCATTAACTCATCAGACGCCAACATACGAGTCCAGCAAGCCGCGAGTGTGCTCCTTCCACCTGGAATACCACCAGGCGAAGCGGCAGCGCCAGGCGTTACGAGATGGAACAGTCCTCGAGGCACCATCAGCATCCAGCGTGGCCGAGGCGTCACGTTCCACCGGAACACCGACGACATTCAAAAGAGGGCATCACGACGATGACATCGAAAGTGAATTCCAGGAACGGTGTTCTCCAGAAACTGCCAAACAGCAACATGGGGAGCCGACCTCCAGCACTCTCGCAACCCACAGTCTCACACGGTTGCGGAGGAGACTGTCCCGGTGCAACACGCACGACCCACGCACGAACGAACCCACGCACACAAAACACGAATGCTCAAATAAATCCTGCAGGACATCACGGGGACCTGGACATCATCTGCCAACCATATCAGTGAGACGGAGCGAATGAGTACGGAGACACAAACACGGGTGCATTATGCAAGATGTCTAATGCATTGAGACATCCCACAACATCATTAAAATGGAGGTCAGAGAGCTCTACATCAGAAGACCCCTCCATCATCCACACACACACACACCACTGTGAAAGGCTACGGAGGAGTGTAATGAACAATAATTTGGGATGATCTCGGATAACCTGGTTCCTTTAGTACAGCTCTGCCTCCTCCTTCCAGGCGCTGACTGCAAACGGAGACTGTGGTGACCTCTGCGTTGAGGGCCGGTGGGCCTGTCTGTGTGGGGAAATTGCAAATGTGATCAGAGTAAGAAGAAATATATAACTTTTTAAATTAAAAAAATTGTATTACCTGTAATGGAAACACTTCACCCCCCCCCCACCACTCTTCAACCCCCCCCCCCTCCCACCACTCTTCAACCCCCCCCTCCCACCACTCTTCAACCCCCCCCCTCCCACCACTCTTCAACCCCCCCCCTCCCACCACTCTTCAACCCCCCCCCCCTCCCACCACTCTTCAACCCCCCCCCCCCTCCCACCACTCTTCAACCCCCCCCCCTCCCACCACTCTTCAACCCCCCCCCTCCCACCACTCTTCACCCCCCCCCTCCCACCACTCTTCACCCCCCCCTCCCACCAATCTTCAACCCCCCCCCTCCCACCACTCTTCAACCCCCCCCTCCCACCACTCTTCACCCCCCCCCTCCCACCAATCTTCAACCCCCCCCCTCCCACCAATCTTCAACCCCCCCCTCCCACCAATCTTCAACCCCCCCCCCCTCCCACCACTCTTCAACCCCCCCCCCTCCCACCAATCTTCAACCCCCCCCCCTCCCACCACTCTTCACCCCCCCCCCCCTCCCACCACTCTTCAACCTCACCAGACGTTGTGCCGTTCGGCGCGTGGAACGCGCCCGATATCGTGGGGAGCTGCAGTGGTGGTGGGGAGGTCCAGCCGCGTGGGTCTCCTTCGCTCACCGATTCAGAACGGATACGGCCGCGGGGGGAACCCCCCCCCCCCCTCCTCAACGCGAAGGGTTTCGTAGGGGGGGGGGGGGGGGAGCCCACCTCCTCCCCTCCCATCCACCCATCCCTCGCCCCCTACCCCCACCCCCTTCCCTATCTGTGCGGGGTGCGGTTCTCGGGGGGGCTTTGTGGCGCGATGAATGATTCACCAAGAACCGCGATATGGGACATTAAACGCCTCTCGCTTATCGCGCACAGCAGCCAATTCAAACACTCACACTTTGTACTTTTAGCGATGCGGGTGGGGAGGGGGGTCGCGACCTTATACTGCGGCGCGGCTCCATTAATCACACGCAGCCCCCTCCCCCGCGGACAAACACGGGACCCCTGGACCCCTGGGCCCCTGGACCCCTGGGCCCCTGGACCCCTGGGCCCCTGGGCCCCTGGGCCCCTGGGCCCCTGGGCCCCTGGGCCCCTGGGCCCCTGGGCCCCTGGGCCCCTGGGCCCCTGGGCCCCTGGGCCCCTGGGCCCCTGGGCCCCTGGACCCCTGGGCCCCTGGACCCCTGGACCCCTGGGCCCCTGGGCCCCAGGGGCGGCGCACCCACGGACTCGGAGGCGGGATCCGGCCCGGCAGCGCGCAGGCACGGAGCTTCACGCGTCTTCATGGGGGGTTTCGTGAGGCTTCGTGAGTCTTCACGAATCTTCGCAGCCCACTGAAGAATGTTGTGAGCACTCAAGGAGTATTCCCTGCCCATGCACGGTCCACACCACTCCGGCTCCCCAGAGCTCGCGTGTGGTGGGAGGGTGGGGGGGGTTGGGACTTTCTCACCTCGGCTCCGAGGAGAGGATTGGAGGATGCCGTGGAGTGGTGGTTGTGCTTCTCCTGCGCCTCTCCCCGCCAGCTCCCGTTTCCGCCGCCACCGTCGCGGGGCGGAGGGATGGCGAGGGACTTAATTGGGCCGAGATGAGGCTGCGATCTCCCTTCCCCCGCGCCGTAGTTTGGAGCAACAATCGAGCGCGTGGCGTTTTAAACAAAGCTATTATTGCCTAATTAGCGCTAACGATCTCACACTAAGCGGAGCAGAAAGCCGAGATAATGGAGGTGAAAGCGCGCGAGCCACGTTGCACAGGCGCGGGTTGAACGCGACTGAGTCCGTGAGTGCTCCCAATTAGCGCTAATTACCCGCGGCGCGGACACGTGTTTGGTAGGGGAGGGGGCGCGGTGGAGGAGCGGGAGAGTGGAATCACTCAACCTCACCCCCCCTCGCCCCCCCGTTTTCCAGTCGCCTGCATGAGCCACCATCCGCGCCTATTGATTGGTAAACTCGTGCGCGTCGTGAAAGTCATCTCCTCGGCTGTACCGTGAAGCCTGGAGCGATGCCACCCGCCTTGTCACCTGTCGCGACACGTGTCGCCTGTGACATGTCAGCTCTTGCACGTGGCTTGGCCTTCCATATGTCGTATATCACGTGACATCTGTAATATGTCAGGCTAAACATGCTTCCCGGCACATGTGACCCGCAACATCGAAACTGTCATCATGTCACTTGTTTAGACGTCACAGCCCACGCGTCACCCATCACGCAAGACCTGTCACAGGTCACATGTTACTTGTCACACGTGCCCCTGTCCACCGTTTGTAACCTGCCCAGTGCCTGCCACCTGCCCGAGACAAGGGGCACGAGCAACACTGCACGCGGCTGGGTCCTGCAACTGCGCCTGACGGCACTGCTCAGTCACCTGTGTCGTCACCTGTGTCGACCACAATTAAAGTCGTGGAGATGCAGCGTCGGCGGTAGGCACAGCAGGGCATGCAGTGAACAGCAACGTCACGAGAAAGAGAGACACGGGGGCAGCCAGGATCGTGAGCATTCTGTAGGCGGGCGCGTGGGTAGGCGCGGCGTCTGAGAAGGACGGGGGGCAACGGGTAGGCGCGGGAGTCCACGGAGCCGGGTCCCCCCGCCCAGGGACCAGGCGGGGTCAGGTGCATGGGGGACCAACGGCGAGAGTCGCTTCGTCAGAGCTGGGTCCTGTTCCTCGATTGGCCGAGTTCCCGCACCCCCTCCCCCCCCCCCCCCGGACCAGGCGCGACGCAATAAAGCGGAGTCTCGAGACCCGGGGCGGAGCGCCCAGGGACCCAGGGACACCGACTCCACGGCGAGACTCACAGACGATAAGGCAGACTCACATACATACTCACTCACACACACACACCGATAGAATCAGTGAGATATATATTCGCTGACAAGGGTAGAGACGCACATACAGCATAATTTCTGTGCGGAGGATCAAAGTGCAGGGCAAGGATATCCACTGTCGATGTGCGTCGCTTTGTGCCTGGGAGGCGTCTTACAGGGTCTACATTTTGAGACCTCTGTGAGTCCGAATTCACTAGGTCAGAAACGAAACGAGGATCTGAGACTCACGGGGGAAGTGAGGCTCTGGGTTGGCTCTTCAACTCAGTACCAATCCCGTGCATAGGTAACCACCCAGGAGCGCCCCGACACGAGGAGTGCCCCACGCCTGGGTCCCTGCTCCCTCCATGAGGCGCGCACGGGGCCCTCCCGGGGCCCTGCTCTGGGACGCGGTGGTGTCGTTTTTCCTGCTGCTGCTGCTGCCTTCCCGCTACACACACGCTGACCTGCCGCTGCCCGCCGTTCCAGCGGACGAGGGCGACGTCTACGAGTACGCGTACAGCTGGCAGGGCGACGCGCACGCCGAGGACTCCGAGATTTCCACGGGCCCTGGAGGATGGACGTGGGGTCCGGCCTTCCACCCGCGGCGGCCGGCGTGCGTGCCCATCCCTCCCGAGCTGCGGCTGTGCCACGGCATCGGCTACGCGTCGATGCGCCTCCCCAACCTGCTGGACCACGACAGCATGGGCGAGGTGCTGCAGCAGGCGGGAGCGTGGGTCCCGCTGTTGGCGCGGCGCTGCCACCCGGACGCGCGGCTGCTCCTCTGCGCGCTCTTCGCGCCCGTGTGCCTGGCGCGCCCCGTGGCGCCGTGCCGCGCGCTCTGCGCGTCCGTGCGCGCCGCATGCGCTCCGCTCATGGACGCGTTCGGCTTCCCGTGGCCCGAGATGTTGCGCTGCGAGAGATTCCCGCTCGATCGAGACCTCTGCATCGGTCTCCAGTTCCAGTCCAAGGGCGGGCAACACGCGGCGCAGCCGGGTAGGAGGCGCGGCGTGGGCACAAAGGGGACGCGGGGAGATCCGGGTGTATACTTACAGGTGCAGGGCTGAAGGGCAGACGGGTACACGCGCACACATTGGGCACACGAGTGAGTACACGCGCTGTTAGCGAGCGACTCATAAGGCGAGAATAGAGCACGAGGGGCTGTGGAGCCAGCACCACTTCCCACACCGAATCTGGTACTCTTCTAAGGCTTAGTCGACATTGGAGAGGCCCAATAATCATTCTGATTACACACGTAGGTGACGTTATCCGTGATCATAAATCGACGTCGAGTCGCCGGGTTTGTCGCGCAGCACGCTCGCTTTGCCACTGGGCTACGGGCACACGCACAGCCACGCGGAGTCGCCCACGGACACGCGTGGGAACAGAGATGGGGACGGACACGGAGGTCAGAGATTTCGGAGGGGCACAGCGCGAACGGGGGCCAGAGACGGGGTCAGGGGTCCCGTGTGGTGACGCGCCACCTCACCACGGAGACATCGCCCCAAGATCTCGAGTGACAGTGACGCTACCCTTTGCCCCCCTTGTTCCCCCATGGCCCCTAACTACCGTGCCCTCATGCCCCCCCCCCGCCTCACTCGGATCCCGTGCCTCCTCCCCTCAGCCTCCGAGCTCTGCCCGCAGTGTGAGAGCGACGTCCTGCCCGACACCATCGCGGATCTGTACTGCGCCAGCGAGTTCGGTGAGACGAATGCGGAGCAGCACGCGGACTCGATATTTGGGGTTTGCGGCATCTCTTTCCCCGTCGTGCATGGTCGCGCGGATTTTTTACTCTGGGTCCTCCGGTTTTTCCATCCACATTTAGAAACATGCATTTAGAAGATTCTGCTGCTATACATGTCCGTCCACGTGATAAGCCACTTCGTTGAGCAATGATTTGAGGCCAGGTCGCTTCTGAAAAACAATCTAATAGCTCAGTTGGCTTTACCTGGCAAGGATTTTTTTAAATTGTTTTATTTGTATGTATTTTTAAGTTAATTGTTTCACGGCCGTAATTATAATATATATTGGAGGGGGACACATCCCCCCCCAATATTCAAATATACTCAAAATGTCCCCCCCCCAATATATTGCTAGAAGAAATAATTGCTCTGTAAATAAAAACAACAATTTGCTAAACCTTGGCCACAATATCTGGACTTGTCTTCATATAAATCAATGCATAAATGTATGTTTATATGATTGTGGTTATGGTTGTACTTTATTAATCCCTAATCTCTGCAATTACATACAATGAAACAAGAAATGGTAAAAAAGTAAAAACAGAGCAATGTAATACAATACAATTTTTTTTTATATTTTAGGCAGGTAATGGGTTTTCAAATTTACATATTTTTCTGGGTTGGGACCCCCAGACACTCTGGAAGATTTGGTCCCCCCCAAATGTTGACTCCATGGCTATGGCCTTGATTTGTTTACCTTTCCCAACTTAACACGCCTATTGTGTCGTTGTATTGTTTGTTGTTGTGAGGTTCGGACCCGCCCCTTACTGGACACGTGTGAAAAATATCTTCTGATTTTGATTAATCCGCGCGTCTCAACACCCCCCGCCCCTCCTCCCTCAAGTCGTTCTTCTCGAACTCCCGAATCGCGCATCAGGAGATGAGCAGAGTGAGATGCGCTACGGGATATGGCGATAGAGGGATGAGAGAGGTGGTTATGGGGCGCACAACACGTGGGTTCGTGAACCCTTCTGTGCGTTCCTGTCGTGTGCGTGGTGATCTTTTTTTACTTTGGAATTCAGTGCCCTCTTTACACGAAGCCAAGCATTCATTTCGCCAAACATGCCAATGCAGGACCCTCGAGAATAAAAATATTGAGACTCGTGGAGAATTTCCGAGAGGAGCAGTCGCTAGCGCGTTTCAGCCGCTTTGTATTGGCTTTAGCGTCACACCGGACGGGCATTGGGGCCCAACGACTTCGCCGATTCTGGGGGTTATTTCGTAAACGATCGGCACGAGAGTGATAGCGACGCAGAACTTTCGTCTGGCACAGAGGATGAATCCAACTGGTCCTGTGTGGGCCCGAATATTCTAAACTACCGTACTGGTGTTAATGTTGTACAGCTACAGGGATAGACGCACCTGTGCCGAACTTTAGTTATCTGGTCCTCCTCGAAGCTATTTAGAATTTGCACAATGCACTCACTGAATCTCGATCGTCTCTCTGCGTGAGATAGTTCCTTGGCTGCGCCGCTCCTCCCCCTCCTCGCGGGGGGAGACTCCCCCCCCCCCCCCCGACTGTCCCCCTCCCCTCCTCCGCTGGAGTTGTCTCTGACAAAGGCCCCGCTGTTGCCGCACAGAGGCCCTCGGCTCCGGCACACGGAGGAGGCCGCGACACCATCACCTCCATCCCAGGAAGCGCAGAGAGTTGCACGAGGGAGAGAGACGCGGCTTTGTGCTTGAGAGGGTGTGCCCGGGTTTAGGGGTGGGCGGAGGGAGATGAGGAGGGGGGAGTGCGAGGAGGAGGGAGGCGAGGGGGTAGACGGGTGTCTGGATCCCTCAGTCCTTCGCTTTAACAGGGAGCAAGGAGGTCAATGAGATTCTCTGCCCACTCAGTATTACGTCCCGGGGACATTTCAGCGTCAAATTAAATCATCATTTACATTTTTAGGGTAAGCATCACCATCGTTAGAATCATCATTCTCATCATTGTTATCGTGTGGGTTTTCACGACGCCTTTTTCAAATGCCGCCATGCAGACGCTTCCAGCCACCGAGACTCCTACGCCCCTCCCCCACGACCACCTGTGGCTGCCTGCAACTTCCCGTGCCCGTCCATGACCTTTCGTGACCGCCATGGCTTTTAGTGATGGTCTCTGACCTCGCAAGATCTTCGTTACCTCCCACGTCCTGTGCCCACCTGCGATGTGATCTCCTAGGGAGTTCGTCCATGGCATTCCTTACATTTGTGATTCCACTGAGCCCACGACTTCCGGTGACCACCCATGACCTGCCGTGCGCACACGTGCTCCGTCGTATTGGCACTCACCTGCCCCCACCTGCCGTGCCCTCCCGTACCTACAGCCCTGAGAATGCGCATCAAGGAGGTCCGTCGCACCGAGCGGGACCGCCGCGTCATCGGGAGCCGCAAGAGGCGGCGGATCCTGCGCGCGGGGCCCCTGCGGCCCCGGGACCTGCGGCGCCTCGTACTGACGCTGAGGAACGGGGCGCGCTGCTCGTGCCCGCAGCTCGACGGGCCCCGCGGGGCCGCTCCCCTCCTCGTCATGGGTCGCCGCGCGGGACCGCGCCTCCTGCTCACGGCCGCCTTCCGCCTCGACGGCGGTGGCGGCGGGGCCGCGCGCGCCGCGCTGCGCCGTCTCAAGGGACACGCGTGTCCCGCGCTCCACTCGGCGCTCTGAAGGAGGGCCCCGATGGCACGACCTCCGCTGTGGGTGCCTCTGCAGTCACGGCCAAGCCGTGGACATTTAGTAGCACGGTCGGTGCGTGACGTCTCTTGCCGATTGTGTCTCGCGGTGATTCTGATCTCTGGATCGTGTTGCTTGATCTGCAGAACGCAGAATAAATTTGATTGCGCGCGACTTGAGCCCCACTCTCGTCACCCGTGCGCACGCCTTTGATTACAGACATTGGTCAGGGTCCCAGTGAGAGATCCACAGAAGAGGTTGACCGCCGGCGGCTCAGTATTTCTGACACGGTCGTGACAAATCCCCTGAGCCGGCACCGTGGATACCGGGTTCCGGCCGCCCGTGATTAATCCGGGTTCTCAGTCGTGGCGAGGTCACCACGGACGACTGCATAAAAAACCCATCGCACTAAATTCGTGTGGGTTTTTTTTTCTCTCTCTCCATCTTAATTCGGCAAAACCACGATAAACGCGGCGTTCGGAGTGCCCCGCGACCAGCACAGCACTTCGTCCATAACCAGCGAGACAGACGCCCTCCAGGGAGAGCCACTCCACCAGGCGTCGTCTCTACACGTGCTGCGTGGAGCCCCGCGGCGGGAGGGGGCGAGAGGGAGGGGAAGGGGCTGGCGGGCGCGCGCGACTCCCGCTGTCCCGCGGGCTCAGCCGGTCGCGTCCCGTAATCACGCCTCGTTATCCCCGGCCCGACCCCGCGACGGGGTCTCCCTCACGCCAAGCTCAGCTGATTTAATGAGGCCGGGCTGGAGTAGCTCTCTCTCCCTCCCTCCTCCTCCCCGCTCTCCCCGCTCCCCCTCCCCGACTCCCACGCGCGTGTGTAGTTGAGATGTAACCGTTTTCTCTGTGTCGGGGCTGTCTCCTCGACTCCGCGCGTCTCCCTGATCCCCTCCCTCCCCCAGCTGCTTCTGCTTCCTCTCCTTCTACTCCTTCTCCACACACCCTTGCTGTGCTCAGTCGTGCCTCAGCGCTCGCAGCACCACGAACGCATTCCACTCGAGCCGCTCTCTCCTTCTCGCTGCTCCCCCCCCCCCGCTCCTCCATCCTCCCCTGCACTCTCCTTGCTCTTCCCCACTCCTGCGCCCCAACTCTCCGCGGTCCTCATCGCCGTCACCTGTGGACGGCAGACGACAACGGTTTGTTGATGTCTGGAGGTAGCAGTAGAAGTTAAACAGCCCAATCAGGCGCAGCAGCAGCATCAGAAGAAGCAGCAGTACAGGAGAGCGGAGTCACAGGGGGCAAGTCTACCCCCCCTCCTCTCCCGTCCCGTCAGCAGCAGACAGATGCCAAGTAACCAGGGAGCAGGAACTCGGGACCACGGATCAGACGGCAGGGTTCACGCAGACCAAGAACCACTCCCCCATTCCATGGCACACAATCATGAGCGTCGTGGTGAAGAATATAGCAACAGGAACACGCAGACGATGCGCCTCCTTCACACAGCCGTCTGTGTTTATACATCCCATCAGCCACACGGCCTGGAAGTGCATCGTTACAGCAGCCTTGGTTCAACACAAACTGTGGACTGGTTTCGACATTTAGTGTCGCATCAGCAGAGTCAGGCGTTGCGTGAATCCAGGCTGGTGACCTTCCGGCTCTCACTTTGACGGAGTCCCGAGTATGAACACTTCACCCAGAGAGGCGATATTCTGAGGTTTGAGTTGGACACAGTCCCAAAAAGCCCAAATCGTAAGCGGCCAGCCATAAACAGCACCCTTTATCAGAGTTGTAGGAGATAACAGTGTAACAAGTGTCTGTAATAGAGCGACATTATTATTGTAAGAGCTGCGGTAAAGAGACGATGATGGGAGGGAATTCCAAATTGGAGCGAATTCCAAAGTGGAGCAGCGTGAGGAAGAAGCAAAGGGAAGAGTGAGGTGACCTGGCAAGGTGGTGAGTGGATGGGTGAGTGGGTGAGTGGATGGGTGAGTGGGTGAGTGGATGGGTGAGTGGGTGGGTGAGTGGGTGAGTGGATGGGTGAGTGGATGGGTGAGTGGGTGAGTGGATGGGTGAGTGGGTGAGTGGGTGGGTGAGTGGGTGAGTGGATGGGTGAGTGGGTGAGTGGATGGGTGAGTGGGTGGGTGAGTGGATGGGTGAGTGGGTGGGTGAGTGTATGGGTGAGTGGATGGGTGAGTGGGTGGGTGAGTGGGTGAGTGGATGGGTGAGTGGGTGAGTGGATGGGTGAGTGGGTGAGGACGGGTGAGTGTGTTGTTGGGACCTGCAGTGAGCTGGTTGAACAGTATTGTTGAGACGAAACAGTGGGCATGCCGAGTTCTCAACAAGGGTGGAGGAATCAATGGATGGATCTGGGGTCCTGGAGGAGGCGAGGGAGCTGCAGGAGTGGGGGGGGGGGGGAGCTGCAGGAGGAGGGACGGGGTATGCGGGTAGGGGCGCCCAGGTGCGTCGGGGCGAGCGGTAGACAGGTGCGCCAGGGTCACGGGGACGAGCTCTCCAGCACGGGATCTGCGCGGTGTTTTAACGCAAATTCCGCGACCCGTTTTTTGTTCTTCTTCTGGCGATCATGAAAACAGCGGAAAAAAGAAAATAAACTCCAGCCGCTGTTTTACGATCCTGGCGAGACCGAGACTTCAGCCCCGGCGCTTCAAAGCCGCCGCCTCGGTGGCTCCACGGGACCGGAAAGCAGCAAGCCGCGGGGAGAGAGGAGACACAGGTGGGAGACTCAGGTGGGAGATTAAGGGTGGGAGACTCAGGTGAGAGATGACCCCAGTGAAAGCCAATCACCCATTATTAGAAGTGGCCACACGTGCCCTGTACCGCGAGGCATGAGTGTCACCTACAGCACACAGTTCGTGCTCGTGTGGAGTTTGTAAACATCGTCGCTCGGGACACAAAAGCGACCGGGCGCAGTTATCGTCACCCCACCCTGTTGTGTGCCGTGCCGGCCTTCATAGGTACTCGCTGACAGCACTTGCCCCAACAGTCGGTTAGGGCAATAACGGGGAATCTTTGTGTTTTCCTGTGGGTGTCTCTGCGTTGTGGCTGAGCAGGTGTTGAGCAGGAGGGGTCCCCGAGTCTCGCGGCTGCCCTCATTCCTGGGCGGGCCGAGCCCCGCGATTGTTTTCCGAAGCTGCCCCATAAATCCGCGTGCGTCCGACCCCATTGAGCCAAAAACAGCAACGTCTCGGAATGAAAACACGATTCCTCCATTCCTGGGAATCGGAGCGCAATCCGAGACCTCCACGGCTCTCCTCGGGCACCGCTGTGAGAATGGATCAACAAGGGGGGAGGTGGGGTGGGGGATACCGCACACATCCCCGCCCCCCCCCCCCCCTCGTGGGGATGCCGATCGTCCCCTCACCCTGCTCCGACACCCATGGCCATCCCGCGGGATCTCGGCGAGCACTCCCATGGGAGAGGGGAGCAGCGGAGGCGGAGATTGAGAGAGCAAGGGACAGGGGGATCAGGAGGGAGCAGCATATACGGGTGAGTAGAGGGCAGGGGGGGGCAGGGGGATCAGAAATTACAGGGGGAGCACGGAGGGCTTACACCAGTAGGCTTCCTAACAGCCCTAAGAATTGGAGTGACGTTTCTAGACCTCTCACCCGCACCCGTAAACGAGACTACATCTCCAAAAAAAACTCTGAACCCTACACTGCCCCCCCAACACAATCACGCACTCACCGTCTTCATGATCCTCCAGAAGTTTTGCCCTGCGCCTACCTCGCGCCCCCCATCATTTCACCCTGACAGCTCTCCCCTCGCTTCTCACTCGGCTCCCCTCCACGCGCGCTCTCTGCTCCGGCATCGAAGGCGTTCTACCGGAGCCCCGAGTCAACCTTCGCTCTGTGGGAGGTCTCTTTCTCGGCTCTCTCGACAACCCCCCCCCCCCCGTCGCTCTCTTAAGTTCAGGTTAATCGGTTTCCCTTTCGCGATGGCTGTATCTTTCTGTCAGCAAAGTGAATGAACCAAGGAATACACGCGCCTCCTTTCCCCAATGTTGCCGCCCATGTCCCACTGTTCTGTATCAGCATCTTCAGATGCTGCTTTTGCCTTGAGATGCCAGGTAAATACAAACAGCAGATGTATCGACTTGCATTCATTCACTCACACGCACATTCACGCACGCACTCCTTCACTTACACACTCACACATTCACTCACACGTTAGCGCACTCGCGTAATGATTCATGCGCTCTCATCTGGAGTCCGCGAGACAGCGGCCAGCGGTCTCTCCAACAGTGCCCGGTTCAGGAACAGCGGGGAGAAGTGGGGGGGTAGGGGGCAGGGCGGTGGGGGTGGCACCACGTGGGCGTCGCGGGGTGCGGAGGGCCAGGCACGGGGTAGCGTGGCACCTTGCCATGCAGTCTGCCGCGTGCACACACACACAGACAGATGCACACAGATACATTTACATGTAGATACACACACACATAGGGATACACTCACAACAGCAGCCGCCATTCTTCACTTAGTGTGGGTGACATTACCACAGTGCGAGTGCCAGGCTAGGTACACTTTAAGGTCACGTGAACTTTCCATCCGAACAGAAGTTGCTACATGCCCAGCCAACGTAGTCTCGCCTGCCAGCTTAGCTCACTGATGGAACTGTGCCCAGATCTTTCAAAGATCTGTGAGATCCTCACATAATCTAGACTGGTTCAACCCAGGATGAATCATAGGCAGGCTAGCCTGAATGTTTCGAACCAGCACAGCTATTCGTAGTGAAGATACAGTGGTGCATAACTATGACCGAGAAGATCTGGAGCTTCGTAAGGAGCAACAAGCCAAGTAGCTTCCACGCAATGTTACGTAACCGATTTAAAAATACTGCTGGTCGACTAATGCAAAGTGAGACCTCTGCTGCCAAACGGGAGCTGGCCACAAGCACCACTGGTCATTCAGTGTTTAGTGAGTGGAGTATTTAATGACATAAAATAACCAGGCAGGTTTCTTTATTTTGGTGGGGCTGATGGTAAGGCACCACCTCTTCTTGACACACTCCTGATCCAGCAGCATTCGCAGATCGTCAGCATATGTAATATGGTTGACCAGTAGGGAGCCATCCCTTGACCACACCTGGCCATCGGTCAGCTTCCCATTGTGTCTGTACCATATGGAAATTCCTGTGGCACAGCCATAGAAAGCGCCTTGAACTACGTGATAATACAAATAATACAATGTTAATTCGTGAAGGGGCCACCGCAAGGTGTATATAAAGTGGCTCTGACTCTCAATCGCACCGCTTTATCCAGGCCTGCCCACCACCATCAAGATCGTGTATGACTGTGAGCATAGGGTCGTGGACCCCAAAAATACGAATTTTAATACAAAGCCTTGGCCTCCTGATGATGTCATCAGCCTTGACCAGGTCAATAAAACTAAATGTTGGCCACGTTGGAAATCTCTGCAGCTCTGCTGTGGCAAACGGACAAAGAAATTGCGTCTGTACAGGACAATCTTGGCCTGAAACCACATCTTTGCCAGAACCTATCTCAGCACACTGAGGAAAGAAATGCCCCGGTGAGTTCTTGAAAATTAGGGAC